GTGCGCAGGCAATGCATTTCATAGCAGACGACCCTTTCACTGGACAATTGTGGGAGTGGTGTTCTCCAGAGCAGTACGGGCACATTGGAGCTAATTTACATGCCGCTGCTGTGTGACCCACACCTTGGCAATTGAAGCACCGGGTGGGAGGAGGTCCGCTAAGCTCTGTTCGGTGGCGTCCTCTCCCATGCCACACTTTCGTGCGTGCTGCAAGGGTAGCTTCGTTGAGCGTTTTGAACCCGATCAGCAGGGAGGAATGTCGCTTTGCTGAATCGTCAGCCGTATCTTTCTTTAACCATCTCACGAAGAGAATGTTGTCAAGTAAGTCTCCGTTACATATTTTGAGAAGATCAACGTCTTCTGGGCGTGTGGGATTGAAGGTGGTAGGAATACCGTGCACAATTATAGAATGCACCTCCTGCTTCAATGCAAGGTGAGGAGAGACCTTTGGCAGCCAGCACGCTACCTGTCCTCGTAGTGCCTGGACCTGCTTTTGCGTTTCCAAATAGATCACCAGATCGTTGGATGGGTGGCGGTGGATGTTTCGAACCACTATTGTGGACGCGTCATCCATGGCTACTTTGATGTTGCCTTCTTTCAAGACCGCATTGAGGATTTTGATAAGCTCGGGAATCGATTTCCCCGCACCCGCTATGTTAGTCGGGTCCTGTTGAGTGAGTGTGAGCGAGGCCTCAGATCGTGGCCGAGCACTTTGTTTTGGTTGAGTCCGAGGACTCGATTGATGTTGAGCAGGTCGTTGTGACGATCCTGGTGCGTGCTTAGAGGCAGCCAGGGCATATGAGCTATTCGCCTGACCTGGTTGCTTCTGTTGTGGTTGCCCTTGTTGGCCTGGTAAAACAGCGGATGCTAGTTTTGCCACTTGTTCGGTGAGCGCATCTACTTTGGCCGACAAAGCTTCGCTTCGAAATTCAAACTGGGCGTTTGGGGCCAGAGAAGAGGGGGAGGAGGAGGGAGCAGGGGCTGTTTGACGGTACGGGTCGAAAACCACTCGTCGAGCCTCATTGATACTGGCTTGCTCCTGGATGAGACCCGTGAGAGCGAGGATATCGGCGGCTGATTCAACATCTACGCTGACCGTTTTGGTTCGTTTTGATTTGGGAACCAAAGTTGCTCTCGATATGTCGAGCAACTTTTGGATCAAAACACCAACATGTTTGGTTGAGGAACTAGAGCCTCCAGGAAACAATCGAGCTATGCGAGCCGAACGGGGGGTGCCTGTGATATCCTCAATTTCTTCCAGAGGATTCGGCGACGGTGGCCTTTGTCGATGTCGTTTCCTCGAGCCTTCCAGCGGAGCTGGGGTGCTTGAGACAGGACCGATGAGGGCTTGGGGGGGGACGGCGACCTTATTGAGGGTCTTGGGAGCCGTTGGACGCGTTTTGGGAGTGGTCGTCGCCGCTGGACCCGTCAGGTCTGAGGCCACGATTGCATCCATCGCGTCATCGTAAGTCGACGCATCGTCCCGAGCGAGTGAGGTATCCTGAATATCAGGATCCGGAGGTCCTTCTTCCATCGGAGAGCGCGACGGAAAGGGGAAGATAGAGAGAATTGATGAAAAAATTGAGGAAAAGTGAAGTCGTTTGAGGAAAAGTGAGTAGGAGAATAGGTTGGATGACTACTTGCGCAGTCACGGAGGGGGTCACGTGACAAATTACAAAAATTTGGTTCGAGCGTCCTTTCTTTTCAAGCACCTGGATATGGGATGGGTTTCCCATGTCTTTGCCTGCTACGATTTAACTGCTGTCTTCTTTCAGTCTCTTTTTGATAATCTACCCACATAGCATCTGCAATTGAATCTCGAAGCATTCTAGCATTGTTATTACCTTGAGTGGTACTACCATAAGGTTCTAGATTATCAGTTTGATCTTGAGTGGCAGTTTGAGTTGAATCTTGAATGTCTGGCATGAAATCAGCTCCAAATTGAGGATCTTCTTCTTGTGGATCTTTCACACGTATGAAATTATGAATAAAACACATAACAGTAACCATAGAAATCTGTATCTCTATAGTATATTGACACCGTTGAGCCATGATACTGAAGCGTTTCTTGCAGACTCCAAAAATACGTTCAATGACGTTACAAGCACTAGCGTGTCGGAGATTGAAAAGTTCTTGTTTATTCATTGGTCTAAGATGAAAGGATGGAAATGGTGGAAAAAGATAAGAATAAGAAAAGATTGAGATTGATGAAAAGGATGATAAAAAAAGAATGCTGACCTGAAACCCTTTTTTTCCCACTCTCGTAAATGATAACGGACTTTTCAAAAAGGAACAAGACAAGTCTCGGTGAGCGCAAAGCCAGCATCACCAAGATAGTACTTTCCTGCTGGAATTGCAAGGTCACGACTTCGAGCCAAACTCCAAAGCGCACCATCAGCCATACTTCCTTCAGCTCCAACCAATAAATCAATAATTCCATGTTGAAAT